ATACTGCTACAGGGTGGCATGGGTGCACAAAATCACGTATATATTCGCGGTCATGGCTGACAATCACCGGGTCCCGGCCGGTGATTACTTGCCAACGCCCAGTGATTGCTGAGCATCTCCGACGGGGAGAACTGTTTTGTTTACAAAGCTTGTGCACACTGCTTTTTGATGGTTGTGCACAGCACGGCCATGCAAAGCAGTGTGATTACAGTGAAGCACACACACACAGCCCCATAGTAAAACACACCCAGCACACAGTTAACCCTTTGATCACCCTTCATATTGCCCCCTTCCTGCCCAGTGCCATTAGTACAGTGTCAGTGCTTTTTTTAGCACTAATCACTGTATTGATGTCACTGGGGATGTCAGTGACAAGTCAGTTCCCTCCAGTTTCAGAATGCCCGCCGCAGTGCCGTACTCCCTCTATAAGTCGCTGATTGCCACCATTACTAGTAAAAGAGAAAAAATAATCCAGTATCTATACTGCCATTTGTAAACTCTATAGCTTTCACGTAAACCAATTAATTTACACGTATTTGGTTTTTGTTTTAGCAGAATACATTTTGGCCTAAATGTATGCCGAAATTAGATTTTTTAAAAATTTTTACTGGACATGTTTAATAGCAAAATTCAATATATTGTTTTTTTTCTCAAAATTGTCGATTTTTTTTTTATAGCGCAAAAAATAAAAACCGCATGGGCGATCAAATACCACTGAAAGAAAGTTCACTTTGTGGGAAAAAAATGACATAAATGTAATTTGGGTGCAGAGTTGCATGACCGCGCAATTGTCAGTCAAAGTAACGCAAAAAATGGCCTGGTCAGGAAGGGGGGCAAATCCTTAGGAGGGCAAGTGGTTAAATTAGAAGAGGCTCTATTATGTAGTTGTCATGGAGGCCTAACTTACTGAGCTTCATATTTTTGCGTGAAGTCAGTACAAAAGTGCATCTTACCATGCACAAACCACATCAACATTTGTTTACCCGAGTGATGCAATGGTGTTGATTGACTAAAGGCATGTAGGCTATTCACTTTGCAAGAAAAATTCATTTTGCGAAGAAATTGTCCCTTAGCTTGGTGAATGAGGTGAAGCTCTGCTGACTTCCAAGATTCAATCATGTGCAAGCAAAAATACTGTTATTTAGTTATACTTAATCTAGCATGGATGATCTAAATGCAACTTGTATTTTCTCTTCTAACTCTAGACAGAACATTTTAGTTTGGGATTAAATGGTTAGGATTTCGAAATTCTATGATATTTGCTTGTTGTCTGTGCCATTTTTAGGAAATCTTCACTTGCTTCCTTTCTTGACACCGAAGGAAGTATGGGAATTTTGCCAAAGGTGATAAAATCAGGGTTAAAATCTTGACAGAGGTTCTCATCATTCCATTATCAATCCCAAAAAATTCCTCTAGTTTAAGTCATCTGACCTGACTCTCTTACTACTGGCAGATGCTGGTCATTGGTCTAAGCACATTATTCACTGGTGCAGCTGCTCTATTTGTATGAAATGGAAAATAAAAGACAAATTGAGGAACGAAGGTTTGTTATTCAAACCTGGATTTGCAGAGAGAGAGTGTTTCAGGTGACACTTTATGAGCTGCAACACGCACATAAAATAGATCTTTACATATTGTTAGGAATATTGTATAAACTGTGCACAAGAAGTAGATACAGACATCTGGAACTTCCAGTGATCCTGGGTTATAAAGGTAAGCTAGACCATAAATATACATATGAATTTTAGATAGATAGATAGATCAAAAAAAAGAAATCAATAGATAAGATAATACACATTAAAGTGTTACTAAACCCACAACAGTAAAATCAGTCTGTATATGCAGTAAAGCATGCTTGTTATACTCACTGTGGAACCTAAGAGGGTAATCCTCTGCATTGTGTAAAAAGGCTGTTTGATCCTTTCTTCTCTGTCCCTCCTCTTGTTGAAATGACCACCTGATACAGACTGAACCTGTAGTCACATGCACATGCTCAGTTTGTATTGCTAGAGAAGTTTTTATTTTTTCTTGGGAGAATACATGTGATCAGCACAGAGCCAATCAGCACTGTCCAGACAGAGGGACTCCTAGAACAGAAAGAAAACTCCTCCTACAAGCTTTAACCAGTGCTCTGCTGAAGTCACAAGACTGCTCTAACTGCTGATGAGAAAAGGTATTTAGCAGTTTATATTCACTAAAATAAATGCATTTCCATGTTCTGTGTACTGTGGGAGACCAGATATAGTGAATGCAGGGTCCTGGGTTTAGTAACACTTTATATACAATATCTTGTGGTTATTTATATAATTCTAGTATAGCCTGTAAAACTCATGTACAGCTTTGTGGATTCCATCTCTCTAAAACTTATTCACCCATAGACTTTTAAAATAAAAATTTACAAAGATTCTCTCCTGAGAATGCTAGCTGATATCACAGGTCCTTCCTCTTATTTTCTGGCAGTAGTTGTGGGCAGTCTTTACTCCTGCATTTAATAACGTTCAAATAATGACATACACCAACTAATCAGTACAGTGAGTTACAACCCATGCCATTGTGATGTTGCATCCTGATCAGGTGTGTGTGTCCATGACAACCTGGGCTCACAGAAAGTGGGTTGAGTGATGGAGGTCATAAGGAGGAATTCCAGCTGATAAAGTTTCTGCAGGGTGCAGTACTGGATGATGAAGGTTGGTATTGCAGTGAACCATTCTTTTTATTTTAACAAATGCTGGGCTGTTTAGTTTTACCAAAAAAATGGAATTCTGCTCTAAAGCATCCTCTATAATTTATGGACCTTTTTTAGGTTGGGGAGGCTAATTTTGTCCAGTAGGAGTGAGTTACACTATGGACTCTACTCTATCTCTAAGCAAGCTGGAGTGACAGGACATGCCAATGGTGTGACCAGTGACGCCACAGCACCTCCTCTTTAAACACATAGGAGAAGCATTGTGTTTCTCTTTGCTGCTACTCCATCATCCCTCACCCTAATATCAGTGCAGCCAAAAGCTACTTGAAAGCCAGATTTAGATATTTAGTAGCTAGGGCCTAATATACAAAGCTCAGTTGATGCTGCAGGATGATTGATTGTCTAGCTGATGTTCAGGGAAATATTTTTTCTCCTGGTGATGTAATACTGCAGCATTTGATAAATTCTCCTGCCCATTTTGTCACTTTGCTCCCACAGTGTTTCTGGAGCTCCCAAGAATCCAGCTCAAGTAATGAATTTCCAGCTGTGCCTGGGGCTGGCAATTGGTTGCTAAGGCAGTGAGAACTGTCTTGTGGAAGGTAGTGTGTGCATTTTTGCCATATCCTTCATTTTAAATTTTAGTGGAGTTCCGTGCTTTGGAGCAGAGGTGAAGAGGTAAACCTGCCTACTTTTAGATACTACCTTTACTTAATAGTTTACTGTGGCCACTGTGGTTTTGCTTTAAAGTGAGGGATAAATAAAGCTTGTCTTTTAACACATTTCTGCAGGATATACCTGGAAGCCTGAAAATGCCCCGATCCCAAAAGTGTGCATATGGCATTTCTGTTATTTCCCAGGGTAAATAGACGTGTCATGCCTCTTTTAACAAGACATTTTATTATTGAGCTCAATCTGTTGGTGCTCAGTGCAATATGGAAAACAACTTTTGTTCCAACCAAGAAGATTCTGCCTATGAAATGGGAGTGTTGACGCTTTTAATGATGCTTACTTTATGTTGTTTGTGCCAATTTGTAATATAATAAGCTAAGAAAAAAATAAAAAAACATAGGACTACCTATAGATTTAAGCTAATGGTCTGAAAAAATGCATGGTTGGTCTTTATCTGTTTGTTAAGAAATGTGTATAATTTTTTTGTGGGTGAATGCTGCTAAAAAAAATAGCACTCGCACTTTTAGGTTATTTTTATTTGCAAAATGTTTTCACGTGTCAACATTTTCATCTTAAGATAAGCAAATGATTGTATGTAACACTCATCCTTGTTTGCTAAGCCAGCGTGCTTTTTTTTTTTGTTTTATTGTCATGATTGTAGGTGTAATTTTCACACAATTGTTCCAGTACACAAAGTTGTTACTGTATTCTTTTCTACAATTCAAGTAGTTAGCCAAAAGTGTAACATGCGTTTCTGTTGTCTGTGGCAAGGGATAATGATTGACGTATGGTTGGCAATTGGGCCTCTGTGCAAATGTCAATTAATTAAGTGAATGTTGTGTAATTAGAAATTATCCGACTGTTGGGAGGGTTCTCCAAGGGTGGCATCAATGTATATGGAGAATCCCCCTATGAGAGTTTAATGCAGCATTGATGCATCAAAGTCCCATAGGGGGATTCTCCATATACATTTATGTCGGGGACGCGCAGCTAGATACTCGACTCTGTTACAAAGGTGGCATCAAAAACTTTTTAATGTAGATGGCACTGCTGTGGTGTGTTGTGTCCGGCAATGGGTCAGTGAGACCTACCTGAAATTCAGGCATAAACTATATTGCCAAAAGTATTGGGACGCTTGCCTTTACACACACATGATCTTTAATGGCATCCCAGTCTTAGTCTATAGGGTTCAATATTAAGTTGGCTCACCCTTTGCAGCTACAGCTTCAACTCTTCTGGGAAGGCTGTCGACAAGGTTTAGGAGTGTGTCTATGGAAATGTTTGACCATTCTTCCAGAAGCGCATTTGTGAGGTCAGGCACTGATGTTGGACGAGAAGGCCTGGCTCGCAGTTTCCGCTCTAATTCATTCCAAAGGTGTTCTGTTGAGTTGAGGCAGGCCAGTCAAGTTCGTTCACCCCAAACTCACGAATCCATGTCTTTATGAACCTTGCTTTATGCACTGGTGCACAGTCATGTTGGAACAGGAAGGGGCAATCCTACAACTGTTCTCACAAATTTGGGAGCATGAAATTGTCCAAAATGTCTTGGTATGCTGATGCCTTAAGAGTTCCTTTTACTGGAGCTAAGGGGCCAAGCCCAGCCCCTGAAAAGCAACCTCACACCAGAATCCCCCTCCATCAAACTTTACACTTGGCGCAATGCAGTCAAGCAAGTACCGTTCTCCTGGCAACCACCAAACCCAGACATGTCCATCGGATTGCCAGACAGAGAGGTGTGATTCGTCACTCCAGAGAACACGTCTCCACTGCTCTAGAGTCCAGTGGATGCGTGCTTTAAACATCTGCATCCAATGCTTTGCATTGCACTTCGTGATGTAAGGCTTGGAAGCAGCTGCTCAGCCATGTAAACCCATTCCAAGCTCTCTACGCACTGTTGTTGTGCTAATCTGAAGGCCACATGATGTTTGGAGGTCTTTAGCTATTGACTCTGAAGACAGTTGGCGACATCTGCTCACAATGCGCTTCAACACTGTGCTAACCCTGCTCTGTCATTTTACGTGGCCTACCATTTAGTGGCTGAGTTGCTGTTTTTCCTAGTTCCTTCCACTTTGTTATAATACCACTAACAGTTGACCGTGGAATATTTAGTAACAAGAAAATTTCACGGATGGACTTATTGCACAGGTGGCAACCTATCATGGTACCACGCTTAAATTCACTGAGCTCCTAAGAGCGACCCATTCTTTCACAGATGTTTGTAGAAGCAGTCTGCATGCCTAGATGCTTGATTTTATACACATGTGGCCATGGAGGTGATTGAAAATTTTGGCAATATAGTGTATATCACACACTTTTCCATTGCTCCCCTGCTGGCTCAGTTAAGTAGCCAGGGGTGAGGAAAGTAAGTACTGTGTAAGCTCTGAATCACTAAGGGTCATCACACATGCTACAATCTGACCATACAATTTTTGCTAAATAAACTTTGGCTTACCAAAACTATGAAGACCTATTCAATTTATTCTGTCATTTTGTATTAGGCCCTGCACTACATAATTGTTGGTAGCTCCAAAGGGGATTGTACAATCAGATTGTAATGCATATGATGAGCTTAAAACAGCTTACATAGGACTGAGGAATATCTTCTCACTCCCATGTATCAGCATTGGGCCAATCCCTATCCCTAAGTCCAAGCACTAGCCCAAGCCCTTGTGATATCATTTAAGAGTAAGTGGGGTGAGTCACCTGCTCCTCGTAACCTGGAAGTACTAGACAGTTTATTTTCCCTCTTTACTGAATTGAGCGAGAAGGAAGCAAAGATAAGTGTGTGCTGCCGGTGGCATTGAAAAAAACTTTTGCTTAGACCTGCATTGGCAAAGCAACAGGTTAGCTTTAAAGCCTAATTTTAATTAACCACTTCCCGGCCGGCCGTTGTATATAAACGGCCGGACGGTGGCACTGCAGGGTCGGGTGGGTGTTTATAAACGGCCTCCCCGCACCCTGCTTGTGCGCGCTCCCCGGGAGCGCGCAGCACCGCAATCCGGTGCCCGCTGTGTCCTCTGGACACAGTGAAACACCGATCGTCGGACGGGACCTCTCTACAAGGTCCCGATCATGTGATCACTGATTGGCTAATCAGTGATCACATGCAAAGTAGTAAGCAAGATGTGACATCATTGCTTACTATGTGTGAAATCTGTGAATGATCACAGAGGTCACATGGTACAAGGCTATTCACAACAGCCTTGTACCATGTGACAAGCTGTGACCAATCACAGCTCACTCAGTAGTTTTCAATGGTTGCAAGAATGCAGACAAAGAGAAAGAGAAATGATTGCTTTTACATCCTATATGGGTGTAAAAGCAATCAGTGTAAAAAAAAAAAAAAAATCTTCATCACCCCCCAAAAGTAGTACAGTGTCACCATGGTGACAGTGTACTGCTAGGGTGACATTATGTAAAAAAATAAATAAATAAATAATAATATACAAAAAAAAATAAAAATGTAAAAAAAAAATGTTTAAAAATTATAATTTTTGGTTATAAACTAATTTGGCTTATTTATTTTTTTTCTAAAAAGATAACGGAATACATTTTGGCCAAGATTTATGATGAAATATTATTTAGTTGCAAAATTTTATAAGAAAAACACTTTTTTTTCAAAATTTGTGGATATTTTCATTTACATAGCAAAAAAAATAAAAATCCCAGCGGTGAATAAATACCACCAAAATAAAGTTTTATCTGTCTCAAAAAATGGTAAAAAATTCATATGAGTACAGTGTTGCATGACCGCGCAATTGTCATTAAAAGTGTGATAGCGCTGAAAGCTGAAAATTGCCCTGGTCAGGAAGGGGGTAAAAGTGTCCGGACTGGAAGTGGTTAATAAAAAAATCAGCACAAGGGACATTACTTAAAATATGAATGCCACGTGTCCCTTGTGCTGCTGACTTCTGCTTTAGTTCAAATCTTCTTCCACCGATCTCCCCCACCCGGCCGACACAGTCTTCCAGTGCAGCGGGGGTTAATAGAACTATGGCACCTGTCACATTTGCTCATCAATGCCCAACATTTTATTCAGAGAAGTTATAGTACAGCTTCTATGAATAACGGAGGGTAAGGAAAGGGCAGGCATATTTGGCAATCTTGATGAGTGCATATGATAGGTACCTTGGATCTATTAACTCCTGCCGCACTGGAAGATAAGGGTTAAGGAAGGAGAAAGATTTCAGCCAAAGCAGAAGCCAACAGCACAAGGGGCACATGGTATTGATTGTAAGCAATATCCCTTGGGCTGATTTTTTTTTTTTTTTCTAACTAAACTTATGTTTTAAGGAATGTCCATCCTTCATCTATTTGGGTAAGGCAGTAATTATACATAGAAAAGTTTATGTTATTACTATAGTTTTCTTATATTTTGGGTTTATGTTTCATTTCAAGACTGTACTTTTTTATAAAGTGTATTGAAAACTATAGGACATTGATAAAATAGCACTGTATAAGGTACATTTTTATGTACAGTGGATATAAAAAGTCTACACATCCATGTTAAAATGTCAGGTTTCTGTGATGTAAAAAAAAATGAGACAAAGATAAATCATTTCAGAACTTTTTCCACCTTTAATGTGACCTATAAACTGTACAACTCGATTGAAAAACAAATTTAAATTTTTTAGGAGGGAAGTAAACTAAAATAATGTGGTTGCATAGGTGTGCACATCCTCTTGTAACTGGGGATGCAGCTGTGTTCAGAATTAAGCAATCACATTGAACAGGAGTCAGTACACACCTGCCATCATTTAAAGTGCCTCTGATTAACCTCAAATAAAGTTCAGCTGTTCTAGCAGGTATTTCCTGATATTTTCTTAGTCGCATCTTACAGCAAAAGCCATGGTCCGCAGAGAGCTTCCAAAGCATCAGAGGGATCTCATTGTTAAAAGGTATCAGTCAGGAGAAGGGTACAAAAGAATTTCCAAGGCATTAGATATACTGTACCATGGAACACAGTGAAGACAGTCATCATCAAGTGGAGAAAATATGACGCATAAGTGACATTACCAAGAACTGGACGTCCCTCCAAAATTGATCAAAACACGAGAAGAAAACTGGTCTGGGAGGCTGCCAAGAGGCCTACAGCAACATTAAAGGAGCTGCAGGAATATCTGGCAAGTAGTGGCTGTGTGGTACATGTGACAACAATCTCCCGTATTCTTCATATGTCTGGGCTATGGGGTAGAGTGGCAAGATGGAAGCCTTGTCTTACGAAGAAAAACATCCAAGCCCGGCTAAATTTTTTAAAAACATATCTGAAGTCTCCCAAAAGAATGTGGGAAAATGTGTTATGGTGTGATGAAACCAAGGTTGAACTATTTGGCCATAATTCCAAAAGATATGTTTGGCGCAAAAACAACACTGCACATCACCAAAAGAACACCATACCCACAGTGAAGCATGGTGGTGGCAGCATCATGGTTTAGGGTTGTTTTTCTTTAGCTGAAACTGGGGCCTTTGTCAGTCAAGGTAGAGAGAATTATGAACAGTTCCAAATACCAGTCAATATTGGCACAAAACCTTCAGGCTTCTACTAGAAAGCTGAATGTGAAGAAGAACTTCATCTTTCAGCATGACAACAACCCAAAGCATACATCCAAATCAACAAAGGAATGGCTTCACCAGAAGATGAAAGTTTTGGAATGGCCCAGCCAGAGCCCAGACCTGAATCCAATTGAAAATCTATGGGGTGATCTGAAGAGGGCTGTGCACAGGAGATGTCCTCTCAATCTGACAGATTTGGAGTGTTTTTGCAAGGAAGAGTGGGCAAATATTGCCAAGTCAAGATGTGCCATTCTGATAGACTCATACGCAAAAGACTGAGTGCTAGAATCAAATCAAATGGTGCTTCAACAAAGTATTAGTTTAAGGGTGTGCACACTTATGCAAGCATATTATTTTAGTTTTTTATTTTTACTTCACTCCACCTAAAATATTTCAGTTTGTTTTTCAATTGAGTTGTACAGTTTATAGGTCACACCAAAGGTGGAAAAAGTTCTAAAACAATTTATCTTTGTCTCATTTTTTACATCACAGAAACCTGATATTTTGACAGGGGTGTGTAGACTTTTTATATCCAGTTTATGATGAGTGTTATCTTTAGCTAAAAGTCTAGCGAGCGCTCATCCCTAAAACTTTAATGGCTTTATGTAACTAGGAAACAAATTCTGGGTCAAGCTTTCTCTCAAATGCAAAAGCTAAGCACATTTTGTAAGTACTAAAGATTTGTCTTTAAAAACCATGCTTAAATCTTTTAATGAGCATTTAATTATCCAGGATACAGGTCATTAACTTCTGTTATAAGTAAATGTAGACATCATTCAATAAAGCCCAATCCAAGAAGATATCTCAGCCGAAAGACACTAAGACAGACAAAAAATAATAAATACAGACCTAAAACAGAAAGGTTTCTGATTTAAAGAGAAATTTACAGGCCACAAAATACTGTTTCCATAAAGCCATTCATAAAACTGAACTCTAGCAAACGCATATTGGGATAATTTTTTAAAAAATATTTTCAGTGCAAAATAGGGCCCTTGACAGACCACATATTAAGTCCTGCTTTCAGTTGTTGGCCGCTGTACTGGCAACTCAGTACTATTTCATAAAGGAAACTGGGAATAAGTAAAATCTGAAGGTCATTGCTTGCTTGTTCTTCTGAAAGTACTAGTTTCCTGGTTACCATGCTGATCCTCTGGTTTCTAATTTTTTAGTCATTGACTTAAAACAAATATGCAGTTATGGACTTCTCACTTTTCTATGACTTTTCTGACCTGCAAACCTGTCCCAGGTCATTGACTCAAAAGGTTTGGAAGTCAGTGGTTCAGAATAAAAGCAAGATAACTAAATAACACTCTGTATTTTTATCGTAACATTTTTTTTTTGCATCAGGTAGATTTTATTGAGAAAAAAAGTTTTTTCTCCAGTATTCCAGACAAAAAGCATAACTATGCTCGATAGGCCAAAGATATACAAACAAATCAACTTAGTTACAATCACAGTTAACATTCTGATTTTCTTGTCAGTTCCATGTTTAAAATAGTATTCCAGATACCTTAAAGAATATAGGCTCACCACCTGCTACAAGGCCTCTCAGGTACATATTACATGGAAACCAAACCTTTGATATTATGAAGTGAATTATGAGAAAACACAAGCCCAGCAAAGATACACCGCACGCCCTAATTCAAGAATCATCCTATGAAACAAACAAGGATTCCATGGATGATTAC